GAAAAGCCCCCCCCCCCCCCCCTCATAGTTCTCCTTTAAGTGCGACGCAGCCGCCTCGAGCACACGCTCTGCACTCTCCAAGTGCCGTGCAATGCACACCGATGAATCAGTCACTGGAGTGAAGATCGTTTATTTCGGCTTCCTTTACTAGACGAAGTTCTGCTTTTGTCAGGATATTGGAGATAAGTGCAGATCACGCGCCGGCTTGGGCAGCATATGACCAGCACGCTGCAGAGAGCTAACCACGGAACCCCCGGGAGGGGAGGGGGAGGCAGCGGCTCTGCTGACATTTATCATTCGGGAAAACACTTTAAGTGGATGTATTTACTTTGTGCCGAGTAGACTCGGCCTCTCCTCTCACGTGTTGCGTATGGTGACTGCCAAAAGGAAAAGGCGAAATTGCACCCTGGTGTGACCCAACGTGACACCAGCGCCGGCCTATGTGAGCTACATTTCCTCCGTACTGAGAGGGAAATCTCACCATTGTGGGAGGGGCAGAGACACAAACTACTGGAGGAAAGCTCACCATTGTGGGAGGGGCAGATACACAAACTACTGGGGGAAATCGCACCATTGTGGGAGGGGCAGAGACACAAACTACTGGAGGAAAGCTCACCATTGTGGGAGGGGCAGATACACAAACTACTGGGGGAAATCGCACCATTGTGGGAGGGGCAGAGACACAAACTACTGGAGGAAAGCTCACCATTGTGGGAGGGGCAGATACACAAACTACTGGGGGAAATCGCACCATTGTGGGAGGGGCAGAGACACAAACTACTGGAGGAAAGCTCACCATTGTGGGAGGGGCAGATACACAAACTACTGGGGGAAATCGCACCATTGTGGGAGGGGCAGAGACACAAACTACTGGAGGAAAGCTCACCATTGTGGGAGGGGCAGATACACAAACTACTGGGGGAAATCGCACCATTGTGGGAGGGGCAGAGACACAAACTACTGGAGGAAAGCTCACCATTGTGGGAGGGGCAGATACACAAACTACTGGGGGAAATCGCACCATTGTGGGAGGGGCAGAGACACAAACTACTGGAGGAAAGCTCACCATTGTGGGAGGGGCAGATACACAAACTACTGGGGGAAATCGCACCATTGTGGGAGGGGCAGAGACACAAACTACTGGAGGAAAGCTCACCATTGTGGGAGGGGCAGATACACAAACTACTGGGGGAAATCGCACCATTGTGGGAGGGGCAGAGACACAAACTACTGGAGGAAAGCTCACCATTGTGGGAGGGGCAGATACACAAACTACTGGGGGAAATCGCACCATTGTGGGAGGGGCAGAGACACAAACTACTGGAGGAAAGCTCACCATTGTGGGAGGGGCAGATACACAAACTACTGGGGGAAATCGCACCATTGTGGGAGGGGCAGAGACACAAACTACTGGAGGAAAGCTCACCATTGTGGGAGGGGCAGATACACAAACTACTGGGGGAAATCGCACCATTGTGGGAGGGGCAGAGACACAAACTACTGGAGGAAAGCTCACCATTGTGGGAGGGGCAGATACACAAACTACTGGGGGAAATCGCACCATTGTGGGAGGGGCAGAGACACAAACTACTGGAGGAAAGCTCACCATTGTGGGAGGGGCAGATACACAAACTACTGGGGGAAATCGCACCATTGTGGGAGGGGCAGAGACACAAACTACTGGAGGAAAGCTCACCATTGTGGGAGGGGCAGATACACAAACTACTGGGGGAAATCGCACCATTGTGGGAGGGGCAGAGACACAAACTACTGGAGGAAAGCTCACCATTGTGGGAGGGGCAGATACACAAACTACTGGGGGAAATCGCACCATTGTGGGAGGGGCAGAGACACAAACTACTGGAGGAAAGCTCACCATTGTGGGAGGGGCAGATACACAAACTACTGGGGGAAATCGCACCATTGTGGGAGGGGCAGAGACACAAACTACTGGAGGAAAGCTCACCATTGTGGGAGGGGCAGATACACAAACTACTGGGGGAAATCGCACCATTGTGGGAGGGGCAGAGACACAAACTACTGGAGGAAAGCTCACCATTGTGGGAGGGGCAGATACACAAACTACTGGGGGAAATCGCACCATTGTGGGAGGGGCAGAGACACAAACTACTGGAGGAAAGCTCACCATTGTGGGAGGGGCAGATACACAAACTACTGGGGGAAATCGCACCATTGTGGGAGGGGCAGAGACACAAACTACTGGAGGAAAGCTCACCATTGTGGGAGGGGCAGATACACAAACTACTGGGGGAAATCGCACCATTGTGGGAGGGGCAGAGACACAAACTACTGGAGGAAAGCTCACCATTGTGGGAGGGGCAGATACACAAACTACTGGGGGAAATCGCACCATTGTGGGAGGGGCAGAGACACAAACTACTGGAGGAAAGCTCACCATTGTGGGAGGGGCAGATACACAAACTACTGGGGGAAATCGCACCATTGTGGGAGGGGCAGAGACACAAACTACAGTACTGTTCAGCCATGGTAGTACTACACTGTGTGTTCTATGCAGTTACCTGCTTCCTGTGCAGTGACCACATTCCATTTGCACAGAAGCTACACAAGAAAAGACAGAACAATGAAGAGGATTACTTTGCCAGCTGGAGGACGTTCCGGTAACAGCTGTGCAGAGAGCTCTCCGCCGCCGTACGGTACTTGTTCTTGTATTTAGGACCCACGGTGTGGACGATGTAACGGGCAGCCAAATTAAAACCCTTTGTGAGCTTAGCCTCGCCCGTCCTGCAACCTGCCGGGAACAACAGTGACAAAGTGCAAAGTGATCAGGCACGGAGAGTGACACGGAGGACAGGATATCAAGATCTGTGGCAGGAAGAGTGAGGATGAGGACAACACAGACAGTGAAAGGAGTGCAGAGAGTGGATAGGAGGAATAAAGATATTCGTTATGCATGACACCACATCCCTAATTCAATATGTAGTCACATCAACAGCATATTAAAAGGCGGACTTTTAAAGGTGTCACAAGAACAACTAGAAAACATTACACAGAGAACTAAGAGTCTTATTATATTTAAAATGGCTACATAAGCCATAGACAACTCACGGCGGACTTTTAAAAGGAGAACTATGGGGGGAGAGTGAAATATACTCGTCGCCATAATTAGAGCCGACGTGTGACCACTGCAGCGGTCACAGGTCAGCTTGATCGAGAACCGAGCGACCACATACCGCCGATGCTCAGCTACCGATCTTCTCCCTGCAGAGAGCGGTGAATTCCCCCTCCCCTCTCTGTCCCTCCAGAGCTGACTGGAGGGAGACATAGGCGACGGGGCGGGCACAGCTGACTCTGCCGCTAGAGAGGTAGAGCCAGCTGTCAATCATATCGCGGGGCGGATTTCAACAGTATGGTCAGGATCTGTGCCGGCTGCAGTGCGGCACTGCCCTGTGTGTCTATAGCGGGCTATACGCGGAGTTTTGGGTCGCAGGAGGATATTACTGTATGTCCTTCTGTGACACTAAAGAGAACTACCGTGTTTCCCCGAAAATAAGACACTGTCTTATTTTTTTTTTTGCACGAAAACACTAGGTCTTATTTTCGGGGGATGTCTTACCTGGCTGGGGGAGGAGTGGACGAGGTCCCGGAAGGCGGCGTGCTGTTGCCGGTCCCGCTGGATGATATTCCGCTTCCATCGTGCGTGCGGGCGAGTGGGCGGGAGCTGCGGCCGTTGGGCGTGTAGGCGGGAGCTGCGGCCGGTCTTTACATTTAAAATTCAGTTTATGTGCAGCTACCCTGAAAGTAAGACCTAGCGG